CTTTTTTTATTTTAAAACTGTATTTTTTTGCCAGCTATCCATTGCATCTATTTTCGGTGAAATAGCATAAATAGCAACAATGGTATTCAAATTGTTTATAAGCGAAAAACGCACGGTTTCTTAATGCACAATTTGAGAATGTTAATGTCAAAAAAACCGTGATATTTTTTAATAGGTCGCTTAATTGCGTCTTTAAGATTACAATGACGCTTTCAGAATCATGTTTGATTGAAAATTAACGTTTGTACAGAGGCTTAAAGTTCATAACTTTTGGAGCCTCCGCTATAAACAAATAGAATTGTGCGAAAACTATTGCACCTACAGCGCCCACTTTTGGCACACTTTTATAGTATGACAAAACCCTCAAATTGTCATAGGTTTTATAAAATTTTAACAACAAATCCGATAGTTATTGATGCTTTTCCCTGCAAAGTGAAAAAACTGTTTTCCTCACTTATTTGTTTAAATAAAAAAGTTAGCTAAAGAAAGTGATTCACGAGACGAGAGATGTCTTGTATTATGTTCCTTTAGACAATTTTACAATAATCTCGCGGATAAGACTTTTTTCGAGTTTCTCTTTTATTTTCGCTAATTTTCCTGGTGTAGTAGATCTGCCACCGTGTATAGTGTATACAATATGATGTTATGATGCCCATCGAGATGCGTATTTTAAACGGAGCGAATATACCCCCCGGCGACGACACATGCGACCCTTTTATAGAATGATACATTAATTCCCCAACCATCTGGAATGGTCAATTACAAAATTTTTTGGTAGACCTAATATGTTTTATTTCAATAAATATAAATAAAAATAAATTTGTCAAAATTACATTTTTTTATTTTTTCGCATAAGTATAGGTATCTCTTATATTTCCAGAACTAATTTAGATAGAGACATCATTCCGATGGAAATCGATGTAATATTACATTGGGAAATTTTGCTTTAAATTTCCCACATTTATAATATTGACATATATTTCCTGCCATTATTAATTTATTTTAAATACCTATGTATACAGTAAACAGAACACCGATTCAACACCAGTTTTTTATGCATTGTGTAGTGGCGATTTTTTTTATTCCAGTCTTACCTAGAGCCATCTACAAACGAATTACTATACCCCTTGTATAATAACAGTATAGTAGAGACCGCCTAGACCTACAGTTAGTTCTTTAGCACAAATTTCAGAAATATTAATAAGGAGACAGCCGATAGATGTCCACACTATCTTTCGTATCATTTTACTGGTTAACAAAATTTATATGGGGATTATATTATTATATTTACTTATACAATGCCTAAACGTTTATAGGATTTTAAAAGGAATTATGACGTTCAAGATATTTTATTACATGAATCGTTCAAATAGTCATTTTAGTTGAAAAAACCGCGGAGTGCTATTAAATTGGAGGATGGAAATTGCAGATGAGGGTGAAAATGCATCCCTTTCAGTTTTTTAATTGTAGCTCGAAAACAAAGCAAAGTTTTGCTATAGTTCATAGGAAAAATTATTTAGAGAATTGAATTTCCCATCGAAATGGCTCATTTAAAAAATTTAAAAGGAAAATTTTATGCAAAAAATCGTTAATAAACAATTTTTAAAAAAGCAAAAAATAAGATTTTTTGATTTTTTTTAGTTTTTAAATAAGCCTTTTCGATGGGAAATTCAATTCTCTAAATAATTTTTCCTATGAACTATAGTGAAATTTTGTTTTGTTTTCAAACTACAATAAAAAATCGGAAAGGGGTGCATTTTCACCCCTATCTTCAATTTCCACCCTCTAATTTAATAGCACTCCGTGGTTTTTTCATCTAAAATGACCTTCTGAACTATTCATGCAATAAAATTGCTTGAATGTCATAGTTCCTTTTAACCCTGTTTTTTTTTTGGATATAATCAATAACCTATTAGTTCATAAGGGCTCTATAGCAAATAGATTTTATTGCACAGTTTGTCCAAATATAAATTAATGCACAAATAACAGACTTTCCTCCATTCTAACGCAGATTGGGGGAAAGTCTGTTATTTAATTTGTGTATTAATTCATATTTAGGCAAACTATGCAATAAAATCTATAAAAATGAATTGTTGGTTGCCTATTTGCCAAAGACCTATCCTAACAAGTTCTATCCTACAGAATGGCTGTTGTATTTCTTTCTCTTTTACGGGTATATTTGCCATCAAAGGAAACTCAACATCCCAACAAATCCACTTAGCAGTTTTTTTTTACTATAATGTTAAATTTTTTGTTTCATTTTAAAAATCTGCATGACATTTGAAATGTAGAATGAAAATGTAGGGATTATTCTGAGTTGATTGACTTTGTAGACAAAGATTTAACAATTTAACATCACAAATTTCTTTTAAGGAAACAGTCGATTGTTTCATTTTCAACTCACATTATAAGAATTTATAATTTCAAGTTTCAACAACAACAAAAAAGTAAAGGAAATCATACGACATATTATAGTATTAGAAAAAAGTGATGAATCAAAAATATGAACATTGACTACGGCTCCCATAAGAAAAACAAAAGTTACATGTCGTTTCTTCACCTTGAAATTCGATCACATATTTGAATTTCGCACAAACTAATCTAATAATGTGTGATTTAATAGTTTGTCTTTTTCCGTTTTCAATAAAAAAAAATGCAAATGAAAGTTTTAGTTTATTAACAAATTTTTTTGTATTTTTCAATTTACATCAGCTTGAACTAAATTTCTTTGCGTTTTCTTGTAAATGTGTGTTAATTTTTAATATATAAAATCACTCGAATTGACATGTCCTGAGTGAATTCCGTGAACTCTAAACTGAACTAAATTCTTAAAAATTTATATGAATTACAGAATTCATCGGCATACAAAATATTTTTTAAAGATCGACACCTTTTGGCAAAGCACTTTTAAAAGTTAACTTTAGGAAATGTAGTTGAACGGACACAAACAGAGATAAATATTTTATTCATATACTCAATACAACTGCAATAGTTTCTAACGGCTATATTACAAATAAATTCAAATGATTATAACAATGTAAAATAGAAATAAATACACAAATTTACACTAATTTACATAAATTTTTATAATCTTAGAAACGAACAATAGTCAAAATATAAACTACTTTATCACAAATAAAATATTAAATATTAGGCAGTATACGGATATAAAGAAGCCCTTGTATAAAATTTAGTGGTTGAGATCAAAATTGACAAGCAGTCTTTAGCTTAATGGGTAGAAAAATTGTTAGCAAGATATAAATTTTGATCCCTTCTTAAGTCGACTTGATATGCAGAATGTACAAAATATTTCGAAGATGTCACCGATAAAAATCAATCCTAACAATATATTTGACACATTTTAACGTATACAGATCATACTGATTGGTTGAATTTAATTTACACATGTCTTTCGATTATCTCGATATTACAAAAAAGCTAAACTGGAAATTCAATTTTAAAAAATACTCACTTTATAATTTACAATAGCAGACTCATATAATTGCAAAAATATCTCCCAATGTTTCAGCGGTTTCACATTTACACTTAATTATGTATTAGACTTAAATAGAGGTGCCTTTTGTTAATTCGATTAAAAACAGCCACTTTACTCCATGTCCAAAATGTCTGAAAATGACGTACGTTTACTATCAATTTATTCAACTCATGTATAAGGTTTAATAGAAAAATTTAAACGAATTCTGAGCTGCATTTCTACCTGCTGCAAAATTTTCCACATTACGAAATATTCGACATAGTACGTATTTAAAAAAATAATAACAAGTACAAGTAGAATACACTCTGCAGACCAACACATTTTAGGTACTTACAGTCTTAATTTTTGCGAAGAAAATTTATTTCTCTTGTTTTCTTCTTCAAATTTGTTGCAAATATATTAACTGTAACAATTAAATTATCAATATAAATGAAATGAAAATAAAAATAACGATCGAATTAGAGATACTATAACGATTAGAAAAAAAACTGGAAAAATTGAAGGAACAAACTCAAAATTTAAAATGCCTATCAAAATGTTTTTCTAGATACTTTGCTGGAATATACTTTAATCGATATGAAAATAACAGTTTAAAAAATTCATGTTTTTGAGATCGGGATGCTCCCAGATTTCGTTATCGAAAAAAAAATAAACAAAATTTAATTTTTCATGTGAGCAACGTAAAGAAAAAAATATCAGTTCCTAATAACTAAACAGAAAAAATAGTTAAAATGTCTTAATTAAAAATCCAGTTCAGAAAAAAAAATTAATGCATAAATCTTCATTTATGATCTCTAGATTTCACGTCTGATGCTTCTCATTCGAAAATAAAATGCTCTTGGCATACTTATATCAGTCTCGAAGATCTAGAATTTTCAGGTAAATTTATAGATCTGGAACTATCAGGAAAGTTCTCTACGTGTCATGTAAATTTTACAATAATTGCAAATGTCGGAATTGGATAAATTTCCGTGCCGAAGTCGACATTAAAATAAATAAATAAAAATGTCAATTAATTCTAATATGTAATTAATAATATGATATAAAATCAGCAAATATTTTTTATTGATTGAATTATTAAGAACTTTATTTTGTTAAATATTTACTCCGTTATTAGTATCCATATCTGTTCTATAACTAAAAAATATGTAGTCAAATTAAAATTAAAAGCACCAATTATAAAAATAAAAAACTGATGATACTCGTTTTTTTATTTTTAAATATGGGCATCTAAATTTAGTCAAAATTAACAAAAGACATTATTGCTATTAGATTTGGATCAATAAATAACCATTTTTTTTTTTTAAAATCAAGAAATTTATTTTTTTTGCCAATTAAAATTATTATTTTCTTTTAAAGTAAAAATTGAAGAGCTCTCTATTAACAGTTTTCTGAGCTTAAACAAATAATGTAGCTCCACTTCAAGACAAAAGATGGCTCTGGAAGTCACATTTTGGCATTGACAATTTATGCAGAAACATAACCCCTTATTTATTTTCTCTGTGGCATCATTATGAGTAAAGGTTACTCATATATGTGGCACAAACAGATTATTAATGGCAGTCGCTGATAAGTGAGTTTACTTTTCAATGAAATAGGTGGCATCTCAGAACAAATAAAGTTGAATAAAATTTGAAAAATTTCTATCAAAATTTGATAAATTCCTTGGTTTTCCTGACATTTCCAGATGTACGAAATTCCCAGATAACTCTAGAGTTTCCGTATTGGTACATTATTTCTATTCCAGATTTTAGTAAAAGCTGACTCTTCACTGCCGATAGCGAAATTAATATTTACGCAGGTAGGAGGCAAGAAAACAATAAATCGCCCACATTCGGTGAGCGAAAAGTTTCAAAAACTGTTGTCGTAGTGAATGAGTATTAAATTTGTTGGAATTTTTCCGTTTTTTCCAATTTTTTAAGGAAAAACCCGTTTTTGTTTTCAATGACATGAAATTTTGAACCTCTACGTTGAATAATTTAATTTCTACGTATGGTTAGAGTTTTTAAAGAGAAACATTCAAAACTAGTGTTCTACTCAGTACATTTTTTCAACAAGTTCACTATTACTGTGAAATAATTTTTTCTAAGAGCAAGACGTAGTACAGAAACACAGATCGCTTGTAGAAATGGACAGACAATTGAAAATACATTATAGAAATACAGCCCAAGGTCATCCTGAGACGAACGTACAAAGGGAAAATTCGAGAAAAGAACAACGAAAACCTGTCAAGCTTAGAAGTGCGTCTCGGGGGGTTCGTCAATATATTTACAAGTGAACGGATTGAGAAACCATGAACAGAACGACTTCTCATGCTTGTGCTTACATTTACCTCTCCTACTGTGGAAATGAGACAACCTGCTGGGTTCAGAATCGATGCTCGAACTCTCGCTGTCTCTCACCACGCTGTCGTAGCCACTCTCCGCCCTCCTGGAGATGGCGGCGGGGCTGTGCTTGGACGTCCTAGGCGTAGAATCGTGACCGCTGTCGTATCCCTCGGACTTGTGACCCAACTTAATGGCAGTCACCCCCGTCTCCAGACTCAGAATGGCACGATTCATTCTCTCGACGGATGGAAGACTGTTGGGGGGCGGTAGGGGCTGGGAAACGATCGACTCGACGGGATCGCCTTCGAAGTTTTTTTCCGTTGAACAGGCGCCATTCCCGGGCATCCGCTTGCTGCTCTCTTCCTTTAAATTCGGATTGGACGCGCCATCGGGATGGCGCAGGTATGCCAGGTTATTGTCCCTGTACTTGTGGCAGTACCTTTGGAACCGGCTGCCCAAGGTGGATTCATACGACTTCTTCCCCGTCAGATCCTGTGTGCTCGCCGAAAGATAACTGTCGGTGTACCAATTCTGCGCCGTCGCCGGTCGGGACATGTTGACCTTGCAATTCTCGCAGAACTTCTCTTGGACGTACGCGGGTTCGCTGTATATGCTGCTGTTGTCGTGACCTCCTTCGCCTCCTCCGTACAGCATGTCGGTTAGAGTTAGGGATCCGCACCTGGTGAGAACCCTGTTCTGTTTTTGCTGCTGGTACGTTTCCGAGTTGGCTACTGTCGCCTTAGCCAGCCTGTTAGAATACAATTCGTGTAGTCGCGCCAGCTGGTCGAATTTTTTACGGGTGGTTTCGTCCAGATTGCCGTTCCTCGGGTAGGGATTGTCGGGGTCCTCGTAGTCGTCGTTGTACAACCCGTATCTATCGAAACGATGACGGGGTAGAAGTCTTTCCAGGTCCGTGAATACGGACATGGAATCGGTAAAGGTTGAGACCACCGTGAGGTTTTCCTGGCTTAGTATTCTCAGGGGGTGGTCTAGGGGGTTCTCTTGATCGACCTCTGGTAAGGGGTTTTCTGCATAGCCCATACACAGAGCTATGTCTTCTTCGGTTACTTGCAGGCAGCAGTCTTGTGTCGGGACGGGTTCGAGGGGTTCCTCCACTTCTATGATTTCCAGCATTTCGTCGCCTTCGCTTTCACCGTGGTCCTCGTAGGCGCTGTTCTGGTAACTGTTGTACTCGGCGTTAGACAACATCCTTTCTTTCAACAGCATGTCCAAGCTTTCCAAGGACACTTCTCGACTGCTTAACGGCTGGATTAGAGGCAGAGCGGGGGGAATCTCCGGTTCTTCGTCGTCTTCCATATCCTCGTCTTCTACAACCTCTTTTTCTTCAGGCGTGTTACACTCCGGTATAACATCGTTAGCGACTGCGGACATCTTCAACCCAGTCCGAATCACGCTCTCCTCCACTACATCGTGCTTTTTCGAATTAAGCGGCTTGACGACCTCGTCTTCGTCACAGTTTTTGAACTGTGTCAGTTCTCTGGGAGGTTTGATGTCCTGCGTGCGGGGGTGGACGTATTTCGACTTCTGTATCTGGATAGTCTGGTGCTCCACCCATTTCCTTATCATGTTCTTCTTGTGACTGTCCATATAACCGTAGCCCGCAGAGCCGTCGGCCTGCATCGGACCGTCCACCCAGGTCTCGCGTTTCTTCACGTGGCAGGCTTCCTTCATCAGATGCCGCGCCTCTGCCACTTTGGATTTCGATATTCGAGGTCCGTCGATCCACTGTTCGTCGCTTGCGCCGCTCGCTGGGTGTTTGGACGGGTCGCTTTTGTTTTTAATGGATGGTATCCGGCTGGGGGACGATTTGGGTGAACTCATGTGGGCGGGCGAGGTCTTGTTGCTTTGGCACGTTTTGACGGTGGTTCTGTGGGAGGAGGGCTTCTCCTCGGACTTTTGGGGCTTAGGAACTTGGGAAGGTCGTTGTTCTGCACTGGAACCTACAAAAGAAAATGCGATTAAAAAAAAACTTAATCAAGACGTGAAATCAAAGGCTTCATAGTTCACCAATAACCACATGAAGATCTAAGTGTATTTGTTTTAACATTTTAAAGACACGCGAAGTGCCGCAAGTGGCGCCCTCTAAAAAGTAACAGCAAAATTATAATCAGATTTGAATTCGTCGCATCAAAGAACCTTCGATCTCCAAAATGAGTTCACCAAATTTTTACCATAAATTCATTTGTACTCGAAACTAGAGTTATATGTCGGTGTATTCTATAAAACCTTTTTCACATTTTCTTATGACAATGTTTAAAAATTTCAACCTTTACCTCTTAAAGCTTTGCTCATGGAACACCGATTATCGCCGGAGTTAAGGCTGGGTATGTACACAGGGGGATGTTCCCCATCAGTAGCGTCATCCGCGGGACCAACGTAAATCACCGTGTCCGCGGACAAATCGCTACTGGAAGGATCAGGCTCGCTGCTGGTCCCCGTGGTCCTCGTGGCTTCCTCCCCAGAACTCCCTCCCGACCCGTTCCCCGCTGCCGACGACACGAACTTGATCCTTCTCCTCCTCATTCGGTGTATCCTCGACGCCAACTGCACGGTGGTCAAGGTGTCCGTGTAGTTCTGGGCGAAGGGGGAGACGTGGACTATCATCGCGGCGTGGCAGGTCAGCGAGCTAAGGCAGTCCTTCAGCAAGTGGGTCAGCTTGTGCTCCTTGTAGGGCAGGTGCTTCTGGCCGTTGAATATGGCCAGGAGGATGTTGCCCACGCCCGACAGAGGGATCCCGCCGCTCGCCTTCCCTCGTTCGGAGTTCCCCAGGTCGATCAGATGCAGACGGCTCCGGCCGCCGGCGACTGCGGAACGATTTCTTAGATTAGTAAGGGATTGGATGGAGCGGCGAGCCGGAGAATGGGAAATAAGTTCGCCGCGGGGACAGAGACGCGCCGCCCGCGCCGAGAGGCGATAAGGAATCCAATTTTCATAAATTGGCGGCGGTTAATGGGGCAACTTTTCTGTTGCCGTTACTTTTAAATACACTATTAAGCGGGGAATAAGTGTTCTCCTCTTATGTAGGTACCTCAATTAATTGTTCGAGATTACCTCAAATCCGATGTACAAAATTTATGTCTTAGTTGTTGTTCAGGCATTTTTTTTTTACTTAATTGTCGCTGAGCGAGTGAAAAACATCACTTTTAAGAAATGGCAATTAAAACGCAGCGAAAAGAACGATATTCCCCGGCAGTGTTTGCAAAGCAACGAAATACGCACTTGCCGATTCCTCACCACCCCTCGGCCGGGTCCGTCAAAGTGTTTGCGGGCCTAATTTACTCACCGCCTCCTTTACCGGCGACGCTATACTGGTAGACGTGCAGGGTAAACAGCAGATGCGAATCCCTCGAGTCTTCCCGGGCGGGGGCCCGACACTCCACCGCCGCGTCCAAGTAGTGGGCAGCCTTTTCGGCGGTGGGCACCCGCAGCTCGCAGTGCGGGGGCTGGTTGCCGAACAGGGGATCGTCCCGCAGGTACATGCCGGGCGACTGCTCCGAGTCTGGAAACGAGAACGGAATGATAAATCAGTGCCGCCGCGCGGAGCGAAATCTCCCAGGGCAATAAACTATGACGATGTGTGCTATACATCCTTCTTTTACTAGTTTTGTACGGAATCGTGCACAGATCTAAAGATTTTCCTGTACTTTTAATGTCATACTGTCAAAAATCATATTTGCCACTTTTACTATTAGTAATTGATAGGTGTGGTGTAAAAGCTGTGTCTCTACACCCTTGACGACGTAGATGTTGCAAATAAAGTGATTTTTATTTTTTTTCTCCAAAAAGGAAACAAGATACGAAAAAAATCGAGACAAAAGTTTTAAAAAAGTTAGTAGCGCACATTTTTTTTGTCAAAAATAATGGTTTAAGTGCCTCCTGGAACTCCACTGGACTGGAATAATTTTAATCTAGTTAGGGCCAAATAAGCCCCTTTCTACCATAAATAACTACCAAATTTCAATAAAATCAGCTAAAGGATTATAAAGATTTTTACGATAAAACTGTTTTTAAAAAAGTTTGACACTCTGGATTTGTTATCCAAGATTTTCCAGAAATAAAACCGTGTTGTTCTGTACCTATTCGCGAATGCAGCTAAGAGCTCGCCCTCTGGCGGTGACAAGTGATACTAGCGAAACAAGGTAAATATTTCTTCTGTGTGTGACATTTCGTTTTGTTTTTATTTAAAATTGAATTTAGTGTTCGTTTTTTGAACACAGTTATTTTAAGAAAATAGTGTGAGGAAAATTTCAGCAATTATGGATAGAAAGAAGAAACTGTCAAACTATTATTGTTCAGTTCAAGTTTGCTCTTCATGGTCCAAGAAAAATCCAGAATTAAGTTTTCATCAAACCATTGAAGAAATTTTCAAAATATTATTGCCGATAGATAATACTCCCTGAATTTCATGAGGGTTGTTAGTAAGTAAGGGCACTAGTCTGCAGACATAATATAAATTTCTAAATTTAAATTAACTGCTCAATTTTCCCATATAGTACCACATGATCAGCCTTAAAAACTGCCTCTCCTTCTAATATACAACGAGAGTTTTCGTTAGCATATATGTAAATAGGAAATGTATTCCACAACGGATAAGTTCATAGTTACAACTTAATAAAATGTACATTACATTGTAATGCTAGAGACAAATAAAGTAGACATAAATACTTGCCTTAAAATTTATTTATGAAATATTTGAAACCTATAAAATAACACAAAAGTGAAATAACCGCAGTTTGATAACAAAATTACTAATAATAATGGCAAATAAGACAAATGTTGTTCAAATGAATGTGTAAACGCGAACGGCAATGTCAAAATTACCTTGTTTCGGAGCTTACTGCTTTCGCCGCTTGGTGCGCTTGCATCTTAAAAATTATCGCGGATACGAATTTTCTGTTTTTCTGCGACATTAAGAGGACAATGGACACGACACGCCTGCTCGTAAAAATAATTATGAGGAAACTCGGCGTTCTCCCAGTAATAAATTACTTTCCGGCAAAAGTATTAATGAAGATCCCCTGTTCAATTTGCATATCTTACATTTCACTTCTTCGTAGTGTACATTTAAAGCGTCTAACTTGATAGCTGCTGACAGTGGTATTAATTTTCAGCAAGGTGCATTGCAGCAAACTTACATCAACTTTAGAGCATATCCGGTTGTGCTTTCTTTTACGGGAGCGATACGGTTTCAAGAAAAAATTAATAAAACGAGTACAGTTATTTTAAACTCAAATATATAGGGATCAAAGTTATACTACTCATGAGTTTGTATTCTCTATATAGTAGTAATATATATGGACAATTGTATATTAATGAACATCCTACAGCAACCCCAATATAACAAGTTGCCTTCATTTTAGTATGAATTTACTTTTATTTTACCTTAATACTAATTTATATCCGCCGTCGTAAAACTTTTTATGATTGCGATAGTGTCATGTTAAGCCATAAAATCGCATTTAAAATATTTAGTGCGGGTTGCACGCCATCACGATTAATTTTTTTGCCATGCCCTCCATATTCACGTTGTGCTCGTGCGAGGAATGCAAGAAACTTGTTTTAACCTATATCCTGAGTATTTTTTAATTACGCATAAAGATAACCTTTGGTGGAAAGCGGAACGACATGACAAAAAAAGTGTAACAAATGTAAAAATATTGATATTGCCTAAATTAGAATACATGGAAAGTTTTCAAGATTTATGTTTTTTTTTTTAAATTAGTTAAACCCAAATTTCCTCCACGGCGTAATTTAATAATAAATTCAATCACATTTTCGCTTCGGAAAGTCGAAAATATGCAGTTAATTTTTTAATCACAAAAATTTACAATCTAATTAAGGCCCCCCCTTTATGGAATTAGAATATCCCAGGAATTAAAAAATAATTAATTTCCCGACCCCGAGAAATACCGGAGTTGTGTTTTTAATTTCAACGTAACGCAACTTTAAGGAATTTTAATCAGAGTGCTCCTTCTATCAAGTTTGCTAATAGGGAAGTCGGCGGTGTTTTTCATAACGGCAAACTTTCTCACAGCCTTTCGATGTTGTTACAATAAAACACATCTGCTTCCGATGTCAGCCTGCTCCGACAATATGTAAGACACCTTGTAACACTCCCCCGAAATACTATTTTCGCTAATAAGAATCCGTCGGGAGATTCCTCACATCTGCCTCATTCCCGCTGACGTATCTCGTGTTTATATCCCTCCAAGGCGCTAAGGATTTTCCTTGCTTCCACGTGACGTAGAGTTACATGAAAACCACCTACGTAACTATAAAAACTAGCTTCTTTACGTTTTTTTTTAACTGCGTTCCCAAATAGTGTAGATATTTCTATGAAACACATTCTTACTCACATGGAAAGTGAATAAAAATCCTCCCATTAGACTGGGTTTTTTAATTATGTATGTAAAATTGCAAGGGTAAGAGCGATTTTCATCTCTGTGTTTTTTATACTATAGAGGTAATTTTCTTTTGTGAAAAATTTTGTGAAATACATTTGAACGTGGAATACTATAACATAAATGAGGTTTTTGCATAACTTTGGATTTTTTCAATGTTATTACTCAAATTATTAAATGTTATAGCTAAAATTTCAGTAAAATCTTGTCTGTCCTACTTTCAAGACTGCTTGCTGAACCCTAACTCAACTTATTTTTCAAAAGCTGAATCGATATTCAGTATTATATGTATTATTATTATAACAATAGTAAAAGTACCCAAAGAAGTGAAAGTTATTCCTAGAAAGATTTACAGATTCGACGCAAAGATCTCATTAAGACTTCTAAGGAGTTCGTGAGCTAGGCAGTATTTCCTAGAGCTTTCCAGCGCCATAGAGAGCATTCCTCGGCCTTAGCTACACACGACGGAGAGTATAATATTAGGATAATTACCTAAATTAATTAAAACTAATCTCACATAAATTCAAGCTGCACCGCTAGGCACGAAACTCATAAACTTCGGGATTGGCTATGGCACTCTAGATTACAGTCTGTGATTTGAATTTAGATATCAGTGTTTGTGTTGTACTTCTCATTGTGCGTATACGCGTATTTTGCGTTCGGGCGCTTTGTTATTACTGCGAATTGAATAAATATATTTCGGAGGGGTCACGAATAACGTTTGTTTGATTTGTTGCTCCTGGGTTTGTAACGCAAGTAGGTACCTCAATTAATTGGACTTGTTGAATAAATGAAAAATGAAATATGAAAACTTTTTATTATTTTGAAATTATTCATATTAAACCCAAATCCCAAATTATTTCCCAGTCGAACCTTTAAATTGTAAGTCCTGCATCATCCCAAACCCAGAGCAGCGCTTCATTGTGTATACGAAAACACGCAGGAACACAACAAAAACAAAATCCATGTACGGGTCTCCCCCCCGTCTTCCACTATGGATTATTGTGGTACCGCTGTCGTATCCATGTCTGTTTCTTTCATGGCCACCGCGACTATGATGGATCGAGCGCCGGTTCGGTCTTGATACCTCATACATCATTTTACCTTTGTTTATGTTTAATCTTTTCCCAGATATACGCTCTTACAAATTCGAGCCCACGTGTCGGTTCACTCGTGTTTACTTTTACCTTTGCAGAAATTTGTTTGTCAAACAAAAACGGACAAGATTTCTGGTCGGATTTCTCGAACACCCTATATAGGTCTTATCGTCGACAGATGTCGCTCTCGGGGACCTCTAAAAATTCAACACCGCACGTGGGTAAACTGGAGTGTTCCCGGCAGGTATTCGTTTACATTCACCTTAACGTAAATTCAAAAGTGTAGTGAAGTTTTACCGGAATTCATCAAAAAGGAACAACTCGGTTGGCGTTAGGAGTGGAAATTGAAACTGGGTTTAATTGAATAAAAATGCACTTTGCGAAATTTGGGTTTTCTGACGCGAAGAGTTTAGTAGGTGGAAGATAAAAACTTTCAAATTTTATCGCATAATCAAATATACGAGATTACTCAAAAAATAAGTCCCGATGAAATTAATTTTCCGTCGATCAAATAAAAGACTACAACCTAACAGTTCGTCATTTTTCTGCAAAAAAATGCACGATGTTCTTTCTCAAAAAATATTTTTTTCGGCTAAATATTTTACCAAACCAGACGAAAATCTCCGCTGTTATGTTTTTAAAAACGAGAATTGAGCTTAAAAATAAATTAACAGCTGAATTTTGAGTAAAACCATTTCATTAGCGGAAATATATCCCTTATTTCAAGTAGGTGATGGGAATTAAAAAGGCGTAGATTTATTTCGCGGAATGCGGGAAGCCGTATTTTACGGCTGGTAGTACATTAATCCGACAGGAAATACAACGAGTAATGGACGCAATGGCAAATGAATGGCGAAATTAATAGTTATTGAATAATAATAGAAGGGACATCGGACGGTATTTCATACCGGTTTAATGGTACGTGAATACACTTAATGCCAGCCATATTTATTTAAGGCAAACCTATTTTAATATGCACTAAACAATGCCGATTAATTTATCGGCGGCTATCGGCGTTGGCCAGGGCAGAGCCGCATTTACAGCTGCAGTTGCACGGGCAACGGACAGGAGCTTGCGATATTTATTTAATAATTTATTACGGTTCGGAATATAATAATTAACATAATAATGTTTGAATAACAACGTACTAAAATGGCTGCGTCGGTCATAAAGTTGATAAATGCATTAATGAATGATGTAGTAGGTATTTTATTTTTAACGTTCTAATGAAATTATTGTGGGCATTGTATTTTTAAGAAAGTACCTATCCGTACATTGTAACGAGAAAGGCAATGTGAAATGTGTAGAAAATAGCACTTTTAAGCAGAATACATGGTAAGATGTAGATCGTGAAGGTTTCGACGAGTTCTCGTTGGAGAGGCGATCGAACGTCGACTTTGACTACTTGCAGTTATATAACCAGGGACAAGTGCCTGGCCAGTACGATCCAAATTTAAGTTTGCGCACTTAGAGACAATATAATCGATATTACAGATTACTATTATTCCTATATCGTTATACTGACTGTTAAATAAATACATATTTTATTAAATATCATTCAGGCAACTAAATAATAATTGCAAATTGTTAAAATCAAGTCTGTCAGTAACATTGTTTTTAACAAATAAGGGATTTCAATATTTATATTATAATTGCACTACTTACCATTAGAATATCCTGACAACAGGTCCCGTAACTGATTCGTAGGGCCACAGATTTCTACAGCCGATACCCTCACAGAAAATCTAGCACCAGTCTTTTGTTTTTGCTCATTTATCCCCTTAAACAGCCAAGATATTGCACACGGTATTATTCCTAAGGTATTGGCGTTCTCCGGAGTTCCCAACATCGTATATGACTTCCCTAGGAAAAAAAACAATCGTTAAATTTCACTAGTGAATTTATAAAGGTATTAAATGCAAGATTTTACGGAAGAGGGCAATGACAAACAAATATCGCAAACACGATGTATCTCTGGGGTGTAATTACTGAATCAACTTTGTCATCAATTATCGGATAGACCAATTAGTGTTGCTCCGGCTAATTTCGAAAACAACCGCGTTGTTGACTGTCTGAAGGACCTTCTACTCGTTGACGAAAATAAGCAGTTGGGTCTAGGCTGTCTAGAATTTTTACTGGTCATTTAGAGTATGTTCAGCTCGAGAAAGTTGGTGCTAATTGATGAAAATTCGATGCAGCGCTTCCAGGGACATTTGTTTTGCTTTTAGTCCGCCCCTCCGAATGAAAAACGGCACCGAACTTCTTCCACTGAAAAACGAGTTGTCTAATAAAATCCTTTATGAGTGTAAGACAAACTTTTCCCCTCCTAATTGCTTTCGGCTTACAGTCATTGCCATCACTTTCAGATATAATCTGTCTAATGAAGATAAAGCTTTTAGGAGTTCTTAAACCCAGACCAGTCCCATATACAAATACCTAGGAGGAGCTGTGTAAACAGCTGTCTGAGTCGATTGATAATTTTCCCCTGACTTTAATCCCTTAATTGAATCACAAGAGATGAAAAATGTCACTAATTATGCGCGGAACTGGGTATTTTTCGATTAAAATATTTTACATATACATATTTGAAAAATAATTACACAGTAGATGTTAACTAATGAGAAATTAATCGTTTTAGCTTAGCTTAATATTTTACTCAGTGCTGAACGTTATTAATTTTCATAGAATCCGACAATTAAACCTTTGATTTTTAACGAAACGACGAAAGCGACGACAAAGGAATATATTTCTCATAGTCATAACTTTATCCCTGCGCTATTTTTCTATTACCCGAACTCGCTGCAGTTTGAAAATACAAACAAGGTGCATCGTAGAGAATATCCACTAAAATAGGAAGCTATTATATGGGAGCCAGAGACTTCATTTCGAGTTTGCATGTAAAGCAGCGAATGGCGAAATAAGGTAATATAAAAATTTCAAGCGTGCCCGCTTTCGGTACAATTCTAATTGGAGCATTTATTTTTATTACACCGACTTGCATTTTAAACTCTTCGTCCACTAGATTGTTTTGTTATAAAACTAAAGCAAAAATTAACCGTTGATATTTTCCACTGTTGCGTTGTACTACAAACCACCCCTTATTAAAATTTTTTCCAACTGCCAGGTATTGCCCTCGTACGTTTTAATCCGAGACAGATCGATGCTGTTTAAATATCCCGAGATGACGATCTTCGGTTGACTAGCGTTTGTCTTGCGGTAATGAGCTTTTTTTATAAGGCACGTAGGTCCCTTTATAGCGGAGGGCATTAAGCAGTTTCACTGGATTCCTCCTTAATTTCGTGATAACATTTAACAGATGAACGGGATTGTCTCCTTTATAATCTGAATTTAACGACATCAGCAGAAAGACTGCGAAGTTTAGGGACGATTTGGAAATATCCGTAATCCTGCAGGAGAGATATCCTTCTTTATAGGCGCAGTATTTATTCGGAAGAGGGATTAGGCGGCTTATCGGGCCCTGAAAAATGGCTGAATCCAATACAGTGTTTTGTATGCATACATTGCTCCGGTCGTGTATAAAAACTTCCATCAAATTGCAAATTTTCCACGTGCCGGGAACTATATCCATTGTTACGACGTGTACGCGCAGATTTTTTTTTTCAATACGTCAGTCTCGCGGACGGGGAAAATAAATTAGCGAAGCTTTTGTACTTTTAAATGTAGGCAAAAAATATTACCGCCGGGATCTGTATTGTAAACAGAATTTTCGCTTTTATTGAATCCCGTCTCCAACAAAAAATCGAAACGAACAGGTCGAGTTTTTCGAAAGGAATATATCGTACCTTGTCATTTAAGAAATTGTCTGGCTTACTGATAATATGATCAGATTTTCATTTACACCAGTCTAATAATAATTATTTTAACAACAACGCAACAGCGTAACTTCGCGCCCCACGAAAACGAGAAACACTGACGCTAGTCTGCAAATTGAAACGAAGTGCGTTATGAGCGGTAAATTTTAATGAATATGTGTGGCGGGTGTTAAGATAAATTTCACGGTGCCACTACCGGGGCTCACTTTACAGACACTAACCAGATTTAAATGAAAGGGGAAAGTTGCCACTCCTGCAGGATAACACTCCATGTAATGTGCCATTTCCATGCAAACGCCTCCCTTGGAAATGCAAAGCGGCCGCGACAAGAAATCTGAACAGAAGTGTCTCGTCACATTCGGTAATATTTATGAAATTGACTTTGTTCGGAGGCAGAGCGGTGCACGGTGCATGGTTTTTAAGGTCTAAATAAAATTTGAATAAGGCTGATTATGCAGAAACGGAGGGGAAAAATTTACGACATGGTGTTTGTTCATCGTGCCGCGAAAAGAAAAACAATGACATGATTCGTGGCACAAAATAGACGCGGCTACAAGTTTTCACAAAGATTAAAAGATAAAAAAGGCCTAAATTTCTAGGTGATTTTCAGTAATTACTTACCGAGCCCAGCATGTCCGAAGCAAAAGAGGCATCCGTCTGTGCCGTTGATGACTGCGTGGATGACGTCCGTAAGGGCGCTGGAGCACACCTCGGTCTGAAATCAGAACATTGGGAATCACGTACAGCTCATAATATTTCTAATTTAACTTGGCGGCGCTCGTCCCTGCATCTATTAACATCAGATGTCGGGTCGCTTCGCCCAGATTGCGCCCCTCCGCGTCGGATCTCCTTCTGCAAGCGCGGGAACCAATCAACCTGCAGGGGGACGCAAATGTAAAAGTCGTGTTCAATCTTTTTAAGATTCCAGAGAGTCGGAATGAAACGCTCGTCGAAGACTTCACCAGGAACTGTTATCGATTTGCAACAATAATGTTGATCCATACAGGGTGTTCCAAAAGAGGCTGTTGCTAAGGCGATTTTATGAGAAAACATAATTTGAGCTATTTAGATCCCTAAAGGAAAATTAAAGTAGTCGCTCTTACCTGCGAGTCGTCCTGGGAGAAAATGGCATCGAAGGCGAACATCTTGGGGGCTGCCACCCCCACCCTCCTGTCCTCCGGCGCTGCTGATCCACTGCACAGAGATGGATCGATTAATGTGACTTGTTTCTTCCGTTTGTCCAAACTGAAAAAACTGTTTGGACTACCCGATTCTGCAGCTGAGCCCGACGTGGGATTTGACACTCTCAACATCACTTTCACCTAAAAGGAAACACGGGGTTAGTCATCAAATTGATGTCCATAGAGAGAAGGGTGTGGTGATAAATTTTAGGAGCTGTAGAATGTCTCTTTAAGCTATAATACTACAAAAAATTAAGGTAGAACTTCTAGTAGGGTTGCCAACTATTCCTTATGACTTTATAATTTAAATTTATAACATATTATTATTTCTGCTAGCGGTATTTTAATATCATTTACAACACTCATAAAAACCAGTAGAAAGCGTGTACGATACATTTTCTAATACTAAATTTTAAACACGCACCGTGTACATCAGTTTTGGATATTTTGAAGAGGTAAACAAGCAGGCGCGGGAGATGAAAGGTGCCGACCAGGAACCTATTTTACAATTCATCAGTCCCAGGGCTCAAATACACAGTCAATATCGTCACCAACGAACTGTAAAACACCCCCCGAAGGAAGTTAATTTATACCTACGTATACACCTCGGCTCCGCCAATGCAGCGACGCGAACTTATCGTAAACAAATGAAGCATTAAACTTTAGTACCCACTTTTTACGACTCGGAGCCTATAGTTTACCGACTGGATGATTCTGTGAGTGCGACGCTGTATTATTTTACGACTCATTATGTAACAAACCGTAAAGTTGAAGGCACACGTGCCCAAAACGACATCCCGGCAGTTTAAAACTTAAACTGACATGCCCCGGCATCAGTTAAATTACAACCCCGTGTACTTGCAAAGCGACGATACTAGCGCAATCTCTTCTGTGATCAGTGTTGCCAACACGAGCGTTACCGAATGCGCGAGACGGCTTGTCAAAAATTACCAGAAAAAAGACAAATTTACTTTTACACGAATATCGTGGCACTCTATCCGATGAACCGTGGTTTCAATTTCCATTCTTAAAAATTTACAGCCCTTGCGGTAACCAAAATTATTATTTCAGTTCACCAAATCTAGTATAAATGCGTTGCCGGAAGGTTAGTCAACATAGTGGTTAAATTATCAACGGTATTACTATTATACTCCAGGTCGATATCGTACAAAATTGACGAATGTATACACGTAATTATTAGCGGCCCCGGGCGGTACACTACGAAAACAAATACGCCGGATGCCTGCTAAGGCACAAACGAAATTATTTGCAACAATGTAATATCAGTATTTGCCCCGTCCGCATTTCAGGGAGGTAAGCGGGTTCTGCCGATAGTACCGCGTATGTACAGCTGTGGACAATAAAATGTTACCAATGCTTGTTCAGCGTAAATGTGGCTTTGCTGTTGAGAGTTTAAATGACAGTTGTACCTTGTATATGTACAATAAACATAATTATTTGTATATGTTTGAATTAAGTTTAGAATTTTCTTTGCAACCAATACCATAACGTCAGTGAGTAACATTCAAATGTATATTAAATCGAAGAAAAGACACGGATAAATAAATCTCACAGGATACAGAGCACTGTTAATCCCGGATTACACTTCATCCCAGATTTTTAAGAGCACCGATTACGCCCGGCAATTAAAGAAAACTTCATTTCCTGCCGAAGTAGTAACGCCGAATTTTTTTACGACGGTTCAGAGCTGGATCGTAAAGTTCGCTGCCGAACCCGTAAAATATATGTAAAGTGGGGGTAATAAAATATATCATTGGGAGCAGGAGTTTAAATTGTATAGAACAGATGCATCCAGGAAGAAAGCATTCGTTTAACTTTTAAGTGAAACTATGTAGCCTTCCATTCTCCTTAAATGTATTGGGAACACGCCTAGTTAACGTTACAGCTATACAGAGTGAACTTAAAATACGTGCATACGTTTTAAATAACGGTACAATTTACTGTGTACAACATAAGAGGGTTTTCTGTAAAAAAAAAAGAGGAATAAGTAAAATTTAACAGAAATTTTTTAATAGAGAACTTGTTGGGAACCACTGACTTTATTCTGGCATTTACCATTAACGATTATGCAGTGTTGGCGGTGCTGTATAGATCTCAAACTTGTTATATGAAATAGAAAAAAAAAAGTTCGTCAGAAACTTATCAAAATCTATAGTATTCAACAATTAAATAAACTTTTTTTAAAATAATTAGCTAAACATTTATGTTACATTTGCTTCTTAAAAGTAATTGAAATTAAATTTTCAACCCTTAGGGTAACAGGTCAAATTGTACATACGTATAAAAAGATTTAAAAACAAAATTTGCGTAAATAATTCTAATTCTAAATATGAATTGAGTGCAAGCTTTAATTGCATGCAAGCAAGATAAATAAAAAGCTGTCGGAAGTGTTGAAATTACCGAGCTTTTTGTTAGATTTAAACAATTCAACGGCTGCGATAATTAGCAATGCATTTCGAAACGTCCTCTAAAAAATTCTAATTTACAAACGTTTAATTTCATAAATTGTGTAACGAGAATCAACCGAACTCTATGTATATTAATTAGATTTTCATGGACACAATTTAAAATAGCAAATTACCCGCGGTGGAGCTACTTTGTGTTGATTTATCATTAAATTTAATCTATACGGAAAACCTGATCGTTGGAAATACGGAATAACTGGTTTATGTTACGTTTTTTTTTGTTTTGTTATTCCCCGAACAAAAATTTCAGTCAGTTCTGGAATTTAAATCAACTGCGACAAAAATTTATATGGGACATACAAATTCCGCGCAAATTTTGTCGATGGCGTCGGGCTTTGAACAAGAGTTTGGCGTACCGCGTGTGTACGGTACAGAAATGCCCGACATACACTTTGCGAAAGGGATACGGGAAACCCAACCTACCAAAATTGTTTCTTTTTTTCATCCAATATCAGTAAGCGTCATCTCACTTAAATGACGTCATATTCAACGTGTTTTCCATTCGTCTTTTTACGCAAAAGGCAGGGTCGACATAAACCGAAGTTAATAATTCACCGGCCCTTTAATTACGGCGCAATCAGGGATGAGACACAAGAAGCGTATTATTTTTTGCAGCAGGACGAAACATTCTGACGGGAAGATAACCGGAGGGAGTAGCGGCATAAAATATGGAGGAGATGCAGAGCGTGACAAGGAGATAGTGAGGGATTCGTGGAAGCGCTGATTTGAGAGATCGATTCCTCGTAGGAAATTGGGTTTGTAGATCGTTACGATAAGCGAAGAGTTCGGTTAAGATGTAACGGGAGAATATATGAGCCGAACATCATTTGCCAAACGTGACTTTATTCTTGCCCAGGTGAAAAACTTTTCCACAGCAGGCGAGATTGTTTCTCCATATACGAGAGAGATATTTTATTTGTAACCGATAGAAAACTGATGAAATGTACACTGCAAAAATTATGTTATAATTCCAGAGTAGAATTTCTGTATACTGCAAATTGTTAGGTAGTTTATTACTTAAGTAATTTGCTTGATAATTTTGTTATTTCTATGTGAGCATATAGAAATAGTCCAATGGAAAACTGGTCATTATGAAAATGGACTGTACTTGTGAAATGGAACAAGCTAGAATAGAACAAAAAAACAAGTCGATTTGATTTGTTTTGTGTAGAACAATGAAGTCAATACAAAGGAACTTTTCTGTGTTCCTTATTACATTTTTCGATAATTTTAACTCATATTATGCAGAAATCACTAATACACACAGTTATTTGCTTTTTCGCTGTCAATGTTTGAGAATTAATTATTATTTGAGAAATAATTCAAGTTAATTCGGGATGTTACGTATTTTATTATTGTTTTACGCAGTGGTAGTCTTGGAAGAACATTGACAATTAAAAAATTTATGTGAGGTGTGACAATATACTTAAAATACATACAAATTCATTCATAAATAATTCAATTTTTGTTTAATCTGTGCTAAATAAAACAAAAACAAAACGCGAATATGCTCTATAAGCCCATAAAACTTTTCCTGCAAGATTCACTTTTAGAACATTTTCGCAAAGAAACTTTTATTTACATTCCGTACCACCCACGTCTAATTTCAGTTTATTTCGACTTTCAAGCAAACTGTTCTCCCCGTATAGATTTTATCAATTAAACACTGACCCATTTTTGCAACGGCGGCTTGCGTGCAAATTCCACATCGAGGGGAGTACTAATTTTATCAATCTCCGCCTAAATTAAAATCAAACCCCTGGAAACATGGCGGTTGATAAACGTCGACTCGGAGAAATAAGAATATAGCTCGGAGTGGAATTTAAGTAAACCGCGATTAAAGTTAACCTCTATCGCACACCTTCCTCCCGCGTCGGGGTTTGACAGGCGACGGCCTCGGGCGCATCAAAATTGACTTACCGATGCGTGTAATTCTGCCGCGAACTCCCGGGCTGAGGATTAATTAATTAGTTAAGTTGCCTGGTTCGATTCTAGGAATAAGTTCAGGTAAGATTTTCGCACACGGGGACGCGCACGCTTGAAAAATCACGTACGTAACAAAAAAAATCGATTATGACTTGTCAAAGTAAGTCTTAGATGGATGTCTTTTCAAGGCCAACTTAACAAAATAAGGAAGTAAGTTTATGTGAACATGTCTAATAATATTTTTTAAAAGAATCAGTACTGTTACTTACTTTACTGTTTTTTCGACACCCTGTGACATGCTGAAGTCGTCTACTAATACCGTGATTACTACGACTAAAATAATTAATGAACAATCGCTAGAACAACGTGAATAATTATCAATTAATTAATATCGACGGTGCTTCGACTCCACGGACGGAATCCGTCTGCGTCTGCAAGGTAGACTCCCGCCTAAACTGCTTAATTATTTTTGCTAAGGATCCTCGCAGTAATTGAATGACTTAAAGTGTAAAGCAGTTGAAGCGCACCCTCATTTATTAATATCCCACCGCCGGAGTTGATACAATTATGAAAGCATCGGAGTAATGGGGGTAGCAACATTCACTTGTTTCGGCTCGGAGCCTTATTGTTAATTAAACTTAATGGTAATAACACCGCCTAGGAATCAAACTAATATTTCATAAAAGAGAGTTGTTACAAGCTTTGTTCCAAGAACGAATTTGGAACGGT